CTGATATGCCATCCCCAGAATGGTTTTTATATCTGACATGAAGATATATAGAAAACCAGGAAGAAAATAAAAACCAAGTTTAAAGAAGCCACTGTTCTCTACCAAATATAGCACATTTTAGGAAATAATTTCTCCTAAAAAAAGAAAAAGAAAAAAAAAGACTGTCAATAATGTCTTAATTGCCATTAGCAGTGATTTAAACATTTACAATGACAGTTTAAGTTTGTCAGCACTGACTATAATAACTTCACACTCTCCATGTGTGTTTCTGATGAGTATGTGCATATGAGGTTGGTGGGATGCAGGTTTATATAGGAATGTCAGTTTTATGGAGTTTTTTTCCCCCATCCTTGGTTGTAGCACAAGGGTTTTTATACTTTGATTCAGAATTAACTGGGAACAAACAGTATTATGACCAACTAGGCAAAAGGTAACAGAAGGAAGAAAATATATATATTTGTCTTTTTCCTTTTTATCAGTACCGGGGATCGAACTCATGACTGCCTGCTTGCAAGGCAGGCGCTTATGCCGCTGAGCTAAATCTCCGGTCCCAAAGAGAATATATTTAAAATGTAAAATGCCTCAAGCGTGACCCAATGCAATAAAAGTGGCTTAACAAACAGCTTTCGATTTGCCTCTAAGGAATCTATTGGCACAGCTGGGCCACTGCAGAAAATGGCAGATTTGGTTTTTACCAGCAAACTAGAGAGGGCCTGAGCAGAGGGGACCTGAGATCCTAAGGGCTGCCATCTCCTCCTGTACCCCCTTGGTACAGATAAAGAAATAGAGGTCCACAGAGGTTATCTCACCCAAAGTCTTGTGGCAAAACCAGATCTTATAAATCCCAGAACAATACTTTCTCTGTCCATAATACTGACGCAACTACTCGACTCTATGGTGATGTGACAATGATAAAGACAGGGATAAATACTAAGTGAGAGCTTCTGGTGTGCCAGATATTGGGGTAGGTACTTTATAAGAGCGAGTCATTTGGTCCTCAGAACAACGCTACGAGATCAGAACTACTATTACCCTTACTTAACATCAGAGGAAACAGAAGCACAGGGAGATGCAGTGACTCACAGGGCCTTGGGGCCTTAGCTAGCAGGTGGTGCAGCTGGGATGGGAACCCAGACAGTCTGGCCTAAGAGCCCACATTCTTCAACTACTCCAGTCAACCCACTGTAATGCCTTTCTATATATCGGAAAATTATGTGTTGCTAAATCAAAAAGGCCCCAGCTGGGGGCTCTCACTATAACCTCTGATATAGCAACGCATAACGAGAACTTAACACTTTGACACACAAGAAACTTGTAAGAGCCCTTGCTTCCCCTGGCCCTCTCAATCCCTGCACTTAGCCCTCTCTCTTCCTCCCAATTGTGAGAAAGGCTCTGAGAGCCCTGATTCAGTATCAATGATGCCATTATTCACTGAGCCTGACAAGCAGGTTGGTTTCAGGAAATATGTGCTTCCCCCTCTCTATTTCCCACCAAAGAATGAATGCTTCTATCTTAATGTTTCTATTCACAATTAAGAATTGGTATTTTTTTAAATGAAGAAAAAGGACATCAAATTAGTATGGAAATCAATGAATTAACTTCCTAGTAATACATTCACTAGGCAGAAAATTTATAGTGGATGAAAACCTGACAGAACAGCCACAGAGAATGTAACATTTTTACTAAGGGGTCACATTATTTGTATAATAACAGGGATATCTAAAGAATAAGAAAAAATTTCCCCAACTATGTAAGTAGTCATTGCTCTATGAGTCAAGAGGCCCTATTTCAGAACATAAGATTCAATGTGCTCGGGCAATCAAAAATTTGGCAAATTTCAGACTATTGAAAAATAATTATCTTTTTAAATATCTTAATATTTCTAAGCACATTATTTGTAATGGAAAACTATAAAACTCTTACATTCTCAACTGCACTTTATCATCCATACTTAGTAGAGTCATGTCTGGTCAAACAAATAAACAAACAAACAAACAAAAAAAACCCAAAACAAAGTTTGCCCTGTTATAGCGCTGGCAAACCTCTGGCACACGTGACCCTGTGGGTTGTTTGTATCCTGAAAGCTCTAAAAGGTTCACCATCACGGTCCTACGTCCTGGGACATGACTGGTGAACTGCAGAAGTGGAGTGGTCTTGGTGACCAATAGCAGAAGTCATGATTCTATGAGATACAGGAAAAAAAGAGAAAAGCCACCTCCCTTCAGTATTATTTTAACTTTGCGATGCCAACATCATCTACTCTTCACCCTCCCAGTCTAAACTTTTTAGTTTAGCTCTTAAACTTCCTGCCAACTGCCTTTGCTCCACCTAGATCACGGTCACCCAAGGAACCCTTCAAGATACATCTTCCCTTATGGAAAAGTCATTTATGGGTGCCTCTCATTAATCAGCACATAAAGTTAACCATGTAAGGGGCATGGATTTGGATTAGTGGCACAGCACCTGCCTGGCAAGTCTGAGGTCCTGCATTTGACTCCTGGTACCCACTTGCCCCAAAAAGTTAACTATGTAGGCCCTAAACAACCATATGACAGGCGTAGACATTTCTATTTTACAGAAAAGAAACTATAGTATAGAGAAACTAAAGAATTTTTGCCAAGAGAAGCCAGGTGTGATGGCACATGCCTATAATCCCAGTATTCAAACAGACTGTGGCAAAAAATCACAAGTTTGAGCCCAGCCTAGGAAACTTAGTGAATTAGCCAGATCCTGGTTCAAAATTTAACAACTAAAAGGGCAGGGGAGATAGCCCAGTGGAAGGTCTTGGGCTCAATCTCCAGTATCACAAGAAGAAGAAGGGGATGGGGTGGAATTATCCAAGAAAACCACAGACGTCCGACGGCAGCCTTGGGTCTGCTATCAACGGCCATGTGCTCGCCTTCATGTGACGTCACGTCCTCTGGTCTACAAGCTTTCCACATTCCCCTTTCACTGAGCCTATGCTTCAGGCTTTTTAACTGACAGGTAAAAACCATCCGTATCCACGGTACTGCCCATGTTTTGACGCTGTGTCTCCACTGCGGAATGGCTTCGTCAGGCTACTTCTCACATGCCCTATCACTTTTTCTCTGATGCTTAACTTCTCTACTGAGCTTCAGTCTCATCTCTACCATGCCTTCCCCGATAGCTCCAGCCTATCTAACTTTTGTCTCTCCTTGGATTTTCTATAAGATTAAACATCTATAGATTTCAGAATTAAAAACATCTAGAATTATTGTCTGATATGCATTAATTTTACTTCCCAACTTATTTTTTCACTTTTCCAAGGCTTTCTGAGCTGCAAACACAGTGAGGGCTTCATGAATACCTAAGACATTATTCTGAAGCTTTTGCCTTCCTAGATTACATAAGGGGCACCAAAAATAGAACCCAGGCTGAGGCACAGAATCAGTGATGAGGAGTAATAAATAAGAGAGGAGGGAAGGTAGCCTGGAGCTATTTAAATGTAGTGCAGGGACGATGGGTTTTATTCAGTTGGCCACAAGTGATCCTGCATTGCATGAGAAAAGCTCCTGTTCAGAAAGACTTATTGCCTGTATCCTAAAGAACATCAACTGAACATGGTGAATCGTGGGCTGTAGACAGTGACAGTGTTTGTCCCCATTTGTCTCTGCAGCCATGGGAAACATTTTATTTCTGCTGCTGTTCTAAATCTAAAAGCACACATGCACACACAAATACATAAGTGCCAACCATCAAGAAAAATTGTTCCAGATTCTTTAAAATTTATTATCTAAAGTCCCAAAAGGGTGATAAAGGACTAAAACTCAACATTATGAACTACTTATTGGGTGGGGATTTAGTGGCATAAGTGCCTGCCTGGCACTGCTGGTGAGTACATGGTCATGCTTTCAATCGCCAGTACCAAGAGAGAAAGAGAGGGAGAGAGGGAGGGAGACACACAGAGAGAACTACTTATTCATTTTAATAAAATACTTGCTAAGTTGCAGGAATGAAGTCTGGAAAGGCTGATTTACTCAATGGAAGCAACTGAAGGAGTCCTAGTGTAACAATAATTAACCTTTGAAAATACTATGTATCAAATAGTTTTCTCAACAAGTTTGTTTTAGGTGGCAAGGAAAAAGCTAACAATAAACAAGAGTTACTTTTCTGCAAACAAGTAACTTCCTCTCATGTCAAAATCTGAAACCTACACTTTCCCACTTAACTAAATGAGAAAATAATTCAGATGTTGCTGCTATGTGTAGAAATGGGGGGGGGGGCTCATGGAGATAGTATCCAATTAAATCTATTGTGCAACATTGTGACTATAGTTAGCAACACTGTTTTAGAGAGTGTAATACAGTGTAGACTTTACTGTTCTGTGCCTCAGCCTGGGTTCTATTTTTGGTGCCTCTTATGTAATCTAGGAAGCCAAAAAGCCTCAGAATAATGTCTTAGGTATTCATGAAGTCCTCACTGTGTTTGCAGCTCAGATTACAGTGTAATCTGAGTAGATTTTAAGTCTTTTCAACACAAAAAATATGTATATGAAATGTTAATTAGCTCAGTTTACCTATTCCATAATATGTATTTCAAAACATCATATTGTACATGATAAATATATGCAATTTTTGTCAATTAAAAAAATGCAGGGCCAAGCACAGTGGTACACACCTATAATCCCAGCTACTTGAGAAACTGAGGCAGAAGGATCACAAATTTGGGGCCATCCAGGGCAACTCAGGCCCTCTCTCTCCCTCACCCCTCTCTCCCTCCAGACAGACAGACACACACACACACACACACACACACACACACACACACGCATGCACACACAAAATATTTAAAGATACAATCAGATGGGAAAGAAGCAAAGACTTTCTCCATTAAAATCAATGCTTCCATTTTGACCTGGAGCAAGTGTGACAGATGCCCAGGAAGGGCCCATGATTCACCTGAAGCTATAGATGATTTAAAAAGAAAAACAACACACAACAGAAGAGGCCAAAAGCCCAACTGAAAAACAGTCAACTTACCAGCATATTTTGTAGTGTTAGATTCATCCATGGACCAAAAGCAATAATCAAAGGCAAATACCTGAAAGCACAAAATATTAAAAATTAACTTCATATAGGAAAGCAGGTTACAAAACAATATTTTATTGATGAAAATGAGGATGCCCATTACTATCTGATAGAGGAAAAACAAAACAAAACAAAACAAAACAAAACAAAACAACCACTACAGTGGATTTGGGGCTTTTCTAAAACCTGAGGTTTCTATTCAACTAAATTTGACTATTTTCTTGTAGAGGAGCACATTGTGTAAAAAAATTAGTATTTTTCCAGAATTCAAACATTGAGGGAGAAATCATAAGCAGATTTCTTGGTAACATTTATATTTAGCAAGAGAGAGAAAAAAGGAAAGACTGAAAAAAAGAAAACAGAACTATGACTTTCTCTCCTGAGTCCACAGGTCCGGCAGCTCCTCAGAACACTAAATGGTACATGTTCGCTTACACCAGTCCCTCTCCTTGCTCCCCACGCTGCCCTTCCTGTACAACAAACTGCAAAGCTCCCCATATTCCCAATACTGGACTCCTTTCTCCTCCAGTACAGCAATCTCCAGCCAGTTCCTGCTAAAACACTAATAACGCACCCTGCCATGTATAACCTTCCCTACAGCTACTGAATACCCACAACACACCAGGAGTAACCGGCGTTTTCTCCATGGAAGGATTCCCAGCGCACCACTGTTCCCATGCCTATCACCAACACCTGTGTTCCAGCCCTTGTTATCCAATGCGCACAGCACGGTTGCCCCAAGCGTGTTCCAAGAAGTAGTTTTATAAGACAGTTCATAAATAAAAGATTAAAGTAGGCTAGCATTGGTGCATAGGTCCCCCTGTTTGACCCTATTGGTCACCTCAATATTAAAAGCTCTGAAAAGACTTCTAGTATAGAAACCATTTAATGGGCTTTGTTATTTCCCAGTTTTAGTGAGGAAGTGCTTTTAAGGGGAACATCTGTTAACATCCCTTGAAATTAGTATTTCTCAGTACGCATCTTAGCAAACTGGCCCAGATCGCTCAACAGTATCCCTGATGAGCTCTTCGCTATATATTCCCCTCCCCCTCTGCTTCTTTTAACTTTTTGAAACACATTCTTGCTAAATTGCCCAGGCTCAACTTGAACTTGTAACCCCCTGCTTCAACCTCCCTGAGTGCTGGGATTATAGACACGTACCACCATGCCCGGCCCCATTTTTCTCTTGCAGTCCAAATACCGCAAGCTCTAAATAGCAATCCTAAGCCAAATACTGCAGCCCTAAATAGCAATCCTCCAGTGGACAGGCATCCTCCAATGCTTCATCATGTCCAAGGACCACACTGTACAGACACAGCACATGCTCTTTGGCCTGGCATTTGAGGCTGGACACAACACGGCCCTTCCAGCCAACTCCCTCAAATTCCTCAGGTGCTATTGCAACTTCCCTTGGGATTACTATGTTCCTTTCCACCCTTGTCTCTGTTCTTAATTTCCCCTCTTCAAAACACTTCAATCCCTTAAGGTTCAGACCATATATTATTTTTCCTGCAAATATTTATTGATTACATCAAAGGAATTATCTTTCTGTTCTCTGAAATCTTACATTTTTTAAAGAGTCTTTTGCTATGGCTCTTATCATCAATATTCTATTTTCACTCTCTATGTATGTAATCTATGTGTATGTTTTATGCCCACTTGTACACTAAGTTCCATGAAGGAAACAATCATATCTTCTTCATCTCTGAAGCCTATGCTGTTGATAATAGTTGCTTTCAAATTGTTTAGTGAATGGTGAATGGCACTGAAACTTTACAAGGAAGCAGGTACTTTTCACATCATAGAAGACTAAATTATGTCTTTAGTAGTTTCACCACTATGTGAATTTTACTGCTTTAACAACTGATTCAGGTATATATGATGCACACAACTTACATCATCGAACCCAGACTCAACTTCAACTATGATAATGTATACATTCACTCTGGCCTTCCAGTAACCAAGCTGTAAATCAACAACTAGGAAACAGCAGTTTCAGCCAGGAGGGCGTGGAATATTTACTGAGAGGGCTCTTTTAATGACTGAGAGACCACACAGGCATAATCCAGCTAATCTTCCCAACACGGGGCAGGTCTGAGCCTCAACATTCTCCCAAGAAATACAGATCTGTCTTGTTTTTAAACATTTCCAGAAAAGGAGATTCCACAACATCCCATGAATGCTATCTTAGAACATTTAACTTTCATTCTCAGGACATTTTCCTTCCATTTGGACCCAAGTCAACTCTCCTTACTTTATTAATAGACACTGTTTTCCAGTTTTTAAGTAACTTTATTGTTGTCTTCTGGAATCTCACAGAATTTCTTTTGTAATTGCCACATAGAATGGAATAATCATTTTTTTTGTATGTAAAGTTTTCATCCCTATCTCAATTTTTTTCCCTGATGGTACTGAGTACTAGGGTATTCGCACCAAGTTACAACCCAACCCCTCCCCCACCTTTATTTCTTCTTTTTTTGGAGAGAGGGTCTTGCTAAGTCACTAAGGAAAAAAGGTTCCTGATGATACAACTGTTCTGTCTTGATTTCAAAATCTTTGATCACAGACATTTCAGACTGGCAATCACACGAGGTGGTCATGCAGTAAAGATTCTTTCAGTAAATATTTATTAGGAACAAAGCTGAAGACCAGAAATCTGAGTGCTTTCCCTAAAACTCAACATGAGTGAAGAGAAAAAAAACAATGTTGTTTTGCTTTGTTTCTTGTTTAGTCTTCAGTACAATCTGTCTCCCGACCCACCTTTCCTTATCTCAAACTGCACAGAGATTCCTGTGTCCCGAGGGGACACTACTACACACACAGTCCTTCTTAGCTTCGGCTCTGTGTGTCTCATGGACCTCAACTTGCCTGCTTTGGTATGTTCAGGAAAGCTATTGTCCATAATATTTTTCAAATAATACTACAGAAAAGAGCATGATATGGATATGAACATGATGTGGATATGAACATGCATCAAGCTGCTGGGTATATTTTTAGATGCTGCATTTCTTTCAGATGCATGTTTTGGGGGAACATGGTTCCTTTAACAGGGATTTGACCACTAGATGAACATTAAGGTCCCCTTGGGCACCATCACTCTATGGTTCCTTGGATAAACAAGCACGGCCTAATTATGGACAGTGTGCAATCTGCACAGAAATGAAGACAGCTACTTGTTAGTCACAAGAAAGTTTGTTATTATAGACATTAGGGCAATTTCAAAGATGTTTGATTTGTCTCAGGTGGTCCAATCATTTCCTTATGATATTGTTGGTCCTACAAATTATTCACAAACTATTATTGTTCTTTTCCTAACCAAAATTTAATTATAATTGAGTAACAGCAGGGTTTTACATGAGGACACAAGATTTTCTTAGGTTTTATACAGGTTTGATTTTCCAATATAAAATTCATTGAAAAAAATAAAATCCATTGATACTTTAAGAGAGTTATTCTTTGGAAGTTCATCACTTCATAGGAAAAGAAAACCATTTTTTTCAAAGCTGATACATGTTAGAGAAACAAGTTATTTAGACTAATTCATTTCATTAGAATTACAAATACCTATTTCCTTATTCAGTAGAGAGTCACTGGTATCTTAACTCAACAATGGGAAATGGAGGACTTCTCAATTCATACAACTGAGCAAAAATAGATGAATAAACAAAAATAGAAATGATGACCAAATTGTGAGAAAATTTCTTGTAAAGGTATCTTTCCATCTAGAATGACAGCTCAAAGTACCAATGTTTTCTGGGCAGTCTTAAAATCTGCAAACTATTACCTGCATTGTTTTCAAGGAAATCCAATACTCCCTCCTCCTCAGAATCTCATTCCTTCCTCTTGAAAAACTTACGCCAGCACTTGATTCCCTGAAGTTTGCTGTCTATCTGCTCTACCTTCACCAGTTTCCTAAAAATGTTAGCTTTGCAATTTTGTGAACCTCTCTGAATATCCAGTAAAGGTGCTAAAGCTGTGTTTAATAAGACAAGTGTGCTTAGTGATGTCTGGGCTGAGCTAACGGAGTTCCAAGACTCATGGGCAGGGTGCGGCACAAACTCCACTCATTTAGCAGTGCCACCTCTAACGGCAATTTCAGCAAAATTCAATTTACAGGTTTTCAAAAATGGAAAAAAGAAGTATCTTCTTAGTGTTTTGAATTCCATACCCAAGTGACCATTTGTATGCATATATGTGTAATTTCCTTGTTCTGCCATGGTATTAACTCCTAGAAGACAAGGCCTTGGTTTTCCTAATGATTTGTAATTTCACAAAATAAAAATACATATTTTAGAGCAACTTCTGATGAATGACTTGAATGACTTCATAAACAAACTTGTAAATTTGCATTTTTATATATAACAGTTGCTTAAAATAAAGAAGTCAGGTATGATGATTAATCTTGTTACTGCAAGAGACACCTAGGACAACCCTAAAGCACATTCTGGGTATGTCTAGGGGGCTCCTGGGGAGTGACCTTGGTATCTGGTCCACCTGTGGTGGATTAAAAATTGATGGTCAACTTAAACACCAGATGAACTGAATTAGCATGGTACTGAGTATAGTGATGGTCCACCAGGGACAGCTGCCAGCATAAAAAGGCGAGCAGAAAGGAAGAGCAGCACTGTGGGCTCTCCTAAGTATTGCTGTTGTTTGGAGCCACTGGTTCTCTTGGAGGAGCTTGTCATGCTGGCTGCCTTCATATGAACTCAGCAATTATACTGGAGGAGCTCGGGACCTTGTCACTGAGAACAGCTGTGGTTTACTTTGAGGGAGCTGTGGTCCTTATTTTGAGCCTTGCTTCCTGGCTCCAGAGGGGAAGACATGTGCTGTTCAATCCCCAGAGAAGCTTGTCAGACTGGCTTCCTGATGTGAACTTGACTGTTCTCATTGTTGGAGGGGCTCGGGACCTTACTGTCGCTGAGGATGGCTGGGGTACTTTTCAGGGGAGCCTGGTCCTTATTTTGAGTGTTGCTTCTTTGCTCCAGCACAGAATCTTCAAATTACCAATAC